AGGATGTGGAGAGGCGTGATTATTCAGAGGCATGATTCTATTGGTTAGAGCCTGAACGACAGCACCAGTGGCGTGGTTATTGGTGAAACTCAAGAATTTTTTTCCAAATAATTTTTTGCTTTATTTCCTTGGTGTTTGCGGTGCCACTGAACCCAAAGACATGGTTGTCATCAGGTGGTGTCCGTTGAGGTGTCAGTGAATATTCTTAGGTTACGCCCAACTTTTCTTCCCCCTTTCGTCTCTACCAAGTTACCACTTGCCAGACTATAAGTGTTGCAGTACTTTTTACTAACTGTATGTAAGCCCATACCTACAGCCTCTACCATTTGAGATAGAAAAAAATTTTAGATACAAAACTTGACAGTTTTTTTTCTAAATTTTCTTTTAAAGTTATCAGAAACAAAATCGCATCGGAAAATGAAAAAACGTAAAGGATCTCAACTTAGTTCAATGGGACACCCTGTATATTATGCGATAAAATGGAAGATATTTTCTTCCTGATGCCAAATATACAGGGTATTTCAAAAACATCGAAACAGGGGCGTTTTGGGATATCTAAAGGTCAATTTAAAAAAAAAACGCTCGGAGAGGTTAATTTTGTATTTAAGGGGGAAACTTTTTGACCCGCTAGGGTGCACCCCCTATGTCTGAAAAGATAATATATGACTTTTTGGTACCCTTTTTAGTTTGCAGCGTGTCCTACCACCTATGGCTGACCCCCTACGCACTTTACAGGCATCTCAAGGAAACTTGCATTTTGTGTGCTCAAATACTTGGTGTCTGTAGCAGTGTGGAGGTGAGGGGCACTGGATTCGATTCACGTCTATACTCGAACATCAATCCTCGTTCCTCGTGGCTTCTGTGTCTCTTTAATTCAGGCTTCTCAGTTCTTCTACAATCTGTGCACTGGACATTTCGTAAAAAAATGGTTATCACTGATGGCATCTTCTTTCCAGCTGAAGCATACGATGCCTTGAAAGCTGCTTTGGCTTTATCTTTAGACTTTTCTTGGGTCTTTACTTGCACAACGTCTAGATCCATATCTTATCGCTGGCGGTCTTGCCGGGGAGTTCATGTTACTTTCTTGCTTCTCCTACACGTGCTCTTCTTGGTTTTTGTTCGAGCTGCCGCCATCATATCCTTCATCTCACTGGCTCCCATCAATAGTCGTTTGCATCTGCATCATCCACTTTTCCGCCATCTCCATGGGCTTTTTTCGTCCTTCCTTATATCATAGAACTTGAATGGTTTAACTAAACTAAAGACCCTTTTGCCTGACCCTGTCAGAAGCCCTAACAATCTTCAAGAAGGCTCTATAGTTGCATTTTTGTACTAGAAGCGATTCGGTATGTACCACAGGATGATGGAATTAAGCAGCGGCGAGTGTCCATCCAGAAGTAATATGGGGTAGAGAAAAAGTATTCTGGATGTTCTCCATGATCGTCAGGAACTGAATGACAAATCTGTAAAACTCTTTGTTGCTAGAAAAAGGCCTTTGCCTTCCGTGAAGAAACTGGTAACCAGATAACCAGCTTAAGTAACAAAAATCCTAGCAATTTCATGATAGTAGGTACACCTAGAGTAAGTAGTGTTTGGTCTACTACTAATGCATTTGGTAGCAGAATACGTTGAATTCACATAAGTGCCTTGAAAATACTTTTAATACAAATATCATACAATATTTTTTCTACAAACGGCAATAAAAAGCAATAACCAGTAACAAATCGGATTTCCAGATGAATAATAAATTGAACGCATCTTTCCTACATAAAATTATTGAATTTGACATTTGTCAAAAAATCCAAACAACCAGCACCTTGTTTTACAGGTAATGAAATGTCTTGTCAGTTTCTTGAAAGTCTGTCGTGGTCAGTAATGCTTTTTGCTAAAAATGCAACAAAATACAGAAGAAAAAGACGGTTGCATCGATCCCTTGGAAAATATAGATGAGGCGGCTAATCGGGCTACCTCAGTTGTTCAAATTTCACCATTAATATCAATATAAATAACTAAAAATACAAACTTTTTTTGACGTACGCTCTCAAAATTTGATGTTTCATTTTTAGCGGATGAACAAACCTTTAAAGATGCTTGTGAAATAACAACTAATACATTGTGTTTATGAATCTGGCAAAACTGATTACTTAAAGTAACTATGAATTTTTGATACAGAAAAAGAAGCCGTTGGTGATGATAAAATGGAAGATAGTAGGTATTGGAAATAAATCAGCTGGTAATATAAATCGCGAGTGACCCGAGTAGGTACCTACACACATGTTGAGTACTACCTTCTTTTTCTTTTCCCAGTGCCTATCCGTTACCGAATGTTGGCAATCATTCTAGCAATGATAATATTATTTTTTACTGCTCTGAATAGACCTGAGGTGGATCTTTCAAACCAGGTTCTTAAGTTCTTCAACGAGGATATTCGTCTTTTGCCGATGCTTCTCCTTCCCTGGACTTTTCGTTATAAAATGCATTTCAGCAATTTATATTTGGTTTCGTTTCCCATAATGTGACCCAGATTTTCCAATTATCTACGTTTTACTGTGTGCATTATTTCTCTTTCTTTATTAAGTTTTTGCAGCACTCGGGTACCTTCTCCATCCATGTTATTTTGAGGATTTTTCTATGAGTCCACAACTCTACTTTTAGTTGCTTTGTTGTGTTTGCCTCCGCCAAGGTCCAACACTCTACTCCCTATAACAAGATAGAGAATATGTAGCATCGGACCAGTCTGAGTTTTAGTTTTAAATTTAAATTTTGTGTTTTGAATAATTTGAACAATTGAATGAAAACTGCTCTTGCTTTTTCAATTCTTGATCTTATTTCTTGGAAATAGTCCTACTGTTCATTTAGTACTGTACCAAAAAAATTGTATGTTGGCACTCGTTCTATGACTTTCTCATTAATGGACAACTGTACTCCTCTAATTCTTTCCTTGCTAATTATCATGACTTTTATTTTATTGGTGTTAACTTCTAGGCCATATTTCTTACTGATTTCAACTACACGGTTCATTAAAAGCTGTAGTTCCTGTGCAGTGTCGGCAAAAACTTTCCTTCCTCTGTTTTCTCATGATTGAGTCTAACAGAATCTGCCTGATTCCAGTATAGGTTTTTGATAATGCGTAAGTCTTTGCCGTCAACTCCATAATGTTGCAGAACTTCCATCATTTTGCTGTAGTGATCTTTATCAAATGCCGTTTGAAAGTCAATGAAACAGGCATACAATTATTATCTCTGCAACGTTGGAAGACCGGTACACTGAATAAGGCGTCTCTTGTTCCAAGACCTGTCAGAAAATCAAATTGTGTTGGTGATACTTGCTTCTCGCAGATTTTGTACAATCTCCAATGCATAATTTTAAAAAATAGTTTCAACAAGTGATTCATGAGGCTTATTGTTCTGTAATCACTGCATTTTTTTTGGTAAAACTATAAACTCCAATCTCAACCATTTTTTGGTAGTTTTTCAATGTTATATATTTCATTGAAAATGACAGTTAATTCTTTTTTGAAATCTTCATCAAAGAGTTTGCACTTCATCTGGACCAGCAGCCTTATCATCTTGGAGTGACCGTATTGCTGCCTCAACTTCATCTAAAAGGATGATTGGTCCTGTTATTCCGTTCGTTACTAGTTGTTCTACTCTAAGGTCTGAGAACAAGTTTCACGTAATTTTTCTATGTTAATTTTATTTGTTCAACGTCTACAATTATTTCTCCTTGGTCATTTTCCATTTTTTAGATTGATTTCTTCTTGTATTTTCCTGTTATTTTCTCGACCTTCTTATATACACCAAATGTGTCGTGATTTGAATATGATCCAACCTTATAGCAGTCGAATTGTACGAACCCAAATGCTTACATACAAGTGTTTCTCTTTCGGAAAAGTGTCCCTTATAAAATTGAAACTTGGAATTTCTCGCAAGAATGTGGATCAGATAACTAACTAAATGAGTGTTTACAGACATCGTAACAATTCGATATGAAGTTTTAACTAATATAAACTTAGTTTCTCAGGCACCTCTTAGAGCTTATACTTCTTGGTAACCAATTGACACCTTTAGTAGCTATAAAGAATCCCAATCGCCTCTCTTGCCTTATTCACTGGATAGGGTAATAATACATCTCGAAACTCAATAAACAAAGACACCATAATAGTCCAAAATACAAGTTTAGAACTTTGCGTTCCATCTAGCGTGCCGTGCAGAATTATAATTTCCGCGGCTACTTTTTCTAAATTTAAAATAGAACAAATAGCGCTATGAGGCTACTACTACATAAATTAAGTTTTATAGCGCATAAATAAAAAAGTTGATGTCATTAGAGAGATTTTGAGCCACCTATTTGATCAACGTTATACGTTATCGGTTATTTTGCTCATGCGCAATAGTGAAAAAATAACCGGTCCGCTTAATGAGTGGTAACGTACTACGCTAATTATGTGGAAATAAACGGAACGTTATTAACCGATAACGTTTTAACATCTTTTCCGCATTTCGACGTCCTTTTATATTTTCAGTGTTATCCATGAAGTGCAGTACACAATTACACAAAACAAAATACAAATGAATACCTAATAATTCTAACATAAACAACAGACAACATAAAATTTGATGTAAGTTACACAAAATCAAAATCCTAACCACAAATTTTCATTAACGTTTAGCGTATAACGTCCTTCACAAGTTTTGGCTTCAAAAACTAAAAAAGGCTAAATGTCATCCGCTATTTTTCAAAGACTGCGCTTGCTCAGTTTATCGTTTAGCGTGTAACGTATTTCAAAATTTATGTGGCTCAAAATCTCTCTATTGACTAAAGTGTGTATCTCGAATTACTTAAAATAAAAACACATTATTGATAACGTGTTAATCATGCCATCTGGCCCACACATCAAAAAAACTTAAAATAGCCATCTAACAAAATTTATTTTTAGATATTAAATTCTAATATTAAACTTTGCACAATAATTAATTTTTGATTACAATTTCACTTACCTTCTACAACAAAAATAAAAGAAATACCATCTTTTTCGTCATCGTATGGTCTACTCAAAGTAATATCCAGTTTGAAATGTTGCCCTCTTCTAACTACTAGTTGAGGAAAAAGATCTCTTCTCATAATTTCATATTTCGACGTTCTGTGATGCAATCCGTTTTCTTCTATGCAAGGGTTGATGTTTCTTATTATCAGGATATTGGGCTCTTTTATTTTCTCTTCAAATGGAATACCATCTATTTCTGGAAAAAGGAAATTCATGTTTTTCCGTTTGCCAATAGTAATTTTCAAATAATGTGCGGGTTTTATTAGTTTGGAAAAAGTTATTATTTAACTAACAAAAACATGAGTAATTTTGTGGATATTTTTGACCCATTGTTTACAGTTCTTGATATTTAGAAGTCATAATTTCTCAAGAATTTTGTTTAACATTTTCAAGGCTGTAAGAATAAATAAAGTGTTTAATTTTTGCACGTCCGTTACATAGACTTTATTTGTTTTAAATAATGTCATAATTCTTTCAAGAGTTTTAATGGCGTTAAACAATTATTAGGATAAACACGTCATGCTCAGATTTGTCGGCTTTATTTGAGATTTTGGGACAGAAACTATTACATTTTAAATATAGTAAAACTGAATGTAAAATTTAGCAAACTTTTAAAGGACATTTTCTAGTTAGTTTGAGTTAGTTGAGTTATAGTTTTTCTGGGGTTTAATTATTATTTTGGTGATGATATCACATTTCTTCATTATTCGCTGGTCCTGTTGCCTTTTTTCTCAGCAGTTCGTTTATTAGACAAATTTTTCTCATTGTCTTAAGTACCTATTCTATGATATCCCGAATGTAGATTGAAAACGAAAACATTAAGTAAGTAGATATACCTAATATTCACAAGTTGATTAATTCATTTGAATTTCTGTTTACAAAATACCAAATCGCTATCATATTCAAATTAAGAATTTCAAGTTCACAAATACGACAAATATACATATATTAAATAATGACTTAGACAGTAAAAATAAATGCTAGTTATGCTAGTTCAAGGTGAGTGTCCGTATCCTACGACTACCACCTGCAATGTCTTACAAATTCGTCAGTAGTTTTTTGGAATTTTCATAAATTACTTACCATGAATGTGATACCACTAAATTGGGAATAAGTTTTATGGTAATTGCTATACTGCTACTATTGTGTTATAACAGTTGGTGAATTTCAGTGAGTAATTTTACAGCAGCTGAGTTTACGAGATTTATGAGAATCTTTTTCTCTTCTTGGACAAATGAGTGGGAAAACGCGCAATAAAAATTATTAGCATCAGGTGGGAATTTTATTAGTTTTCTTCGAGTTTATTATAAGCTTACATAAAAGAAATTCAATTTGAAATTTGCTTAGAACCTCAAATGGAATTTTGAATGATATATTTTTTAATCAAACATATACTTTATAAGGCAAAGTATAGAGGGTATTTTTAATTTGAATATTGTATAGGTATAATAGGTTCACTTGAGCCTGGGAACTTTTTCTAGACCGTCGGAAAATCGGTGGATTTTGTGCTGGATTTGGCTGGTTTAGCTAATTTTGTCCTGGTTTTCACTGGTTTTATGCTGGTTTGTGCTGCTTTTGCAGGTTTTGTGCTGAATTTCAGAAAACCAGCTAAAGCAGCAAAACCGAGCACTAATCCAGTGAAACCGAGCACAAAATTATTTAAATCAGTACGAAACCAGCACAAAACCAGCAAAATCCGCCGACTTTCCCACGGTATCGAAAAAGTTCCCAGGCTCGAGTGACCCTATACCTACATATTATTGCCACAAATTTCGGGTACACTAAAACTAAAACTAATTTTACAAATAGTAACAACTTTTATTGAATAAATTGACTACATTCAACCCAATACTAAAAATAAATTATAGTATTGGTTTAAATTTTAAACCTAACCAATACAATTGAATAGGTACAGGACAACAGTCATCCAAGATGGCACTCAACTTACCTGAATGATTTACAATATAACATACGATTAAATCGAGATGACTTAAAGAGAATGAATTAGATCAACTATCAACTGTCAGGAGCAGAGATGTCCACTGTCCACCAAGGACAGGGACGGATTAAGGTCTTTTGGGGCCCAGGGCTATTTTCACAAAAGAGGCCCCTAGGTCCCTGAAATAAATTCAAACGTCACTCAAACAACACTTTACTTTGCAGGTGCATCATAGATGCATTTATTACAGTGACTTTATACAAGACAGTGGCGACAGGGGGTTGTCCCATTTTTGATTGGTTCTCAGAATTTGGCTCTCCAAACCACGTGATTTTTCAATATGGCGACCGTGGAGAATTTGACGTTTGTTTGTTTATCTTGAGTTTATTTGAAATATTTTCAAGCTAATTACAGTTCACTTTGTTATAATATACTTTTTGAGATACAGAGTGAATATTTAAAGACTTGAATGCAGGAAAATCGGGATCTGGGCGAACGGTTAGTTTTAAAAAATGTCCAGATGACATTTTGATCCACAATTCACATTAATGAGCAACTGAAGGCCTCAAAAGCTTAGATTCTTACGAATATTTCGAAAATGGCTTTATTTCAGATGCAGGAACAGTGATAGTGGAAAATGTTCACGTTTTAATTGGAAAATTTTAAAACAAAGGGCAATGAAAAAAGCCTGACATCATCCTTGTTACCTTGTTGAAACTCCACAATCAAGACCCATTTGTGGCATTTTTAGTTGGAAGAAACACTAATGAAGTCAATAAAATAAAAAAATCAACAGAGTTCATTCACAAAATGCACTTTAAAAAGCTTTAAATTACATACTCTCATATGCGGGATAATGAACTTCCGCCACAATGCACTTTGTGACAGGTCGTTGGAATGCCAAATTACGTAGTTCATCCGCCATGTTTTGACAAAAGCAATTTGTTTTTATCATTTAAGGGTCATTTACATCCACTTAACTTAACTTAACGTACGGAAAATTATAATTAACGTACGAAAATGAGAAGGTGTGTGTTTACAATGAAGTTAATTTTCTTATGTGAAGCATGCGTACTTATAACCTCAACTGTCAAGTCAAATTATATGCACATAACCAGAAATTAACGTAGGTACGGATTTCTTTAAGTTGAAGTTGGCCCAACTTTTCCATGCGTCACGTTAATTTTCTTCATTCTTAAGTGGATATAAATAACTAGGTATAGGCACATGATCTTCAACTTTTTTTTATTATTAATTTTCCGCGCGTTAAGTTAAGTTAAGTGGATGTAAATGACACTTAAATCCTATGGAGTTTTATGCAATTTTATTTTGACAAAACATGGCGGGTGGGCCCTATCAAGGTTCTTATTGTCGCCAGTGTCTTGTATAAAGTCAGTGTAGCTTTTATGCGGATAATGCGCCATCTACCAATAATTATACCAGCTACTCAATAATAATATAATAGGGTAGTGTTATGTTTGATATAATTGATAGATAATAGATGGCGAAATCGAAATTGTAAAATTATATCCATGATTTTTCTTCCCCATGTGAGGTGGTGTTTTGGGGCCCCCCTCATTTCGGGGCCCGGGGCTTTAGCCCCCAAAGCCCCCCCCTTAATCCGGCCCTGACCAAGGAGAGGTGGAGAGGCTATGGTGCAGCGTTAATTTGTTTTATTAAAAACTATCGCATTTTTGAAAAGTTTGGTGGCAGCAGATTTAAAATTAACTTGAATTTTATCGTACTGTAGCGAGATTTGATAAGTGAATGACCTCTCATATAGAGTTGTTTGGTGTAGCGGAGCGATTGTAAGTTTATGCCTCAAGTCCATATCATGCGAGAGTCATATCGAAATTTAATTTTTTGGTATAAATAATCCGGAAATAATTGGAAAATTATTTAATTAAACGTTACGGGTTTCTCGATGCAATATCTTTATTCTCGTTATAATATGATTGTGCTAAGTATATAGTAATAGTTTTAGGAATCCATAATGACATTTTCGATGAAATTTTAAATATTTTGATTGCTGACAAAAAATGCATTTAATTGGGTGAATTATATTCGAAGTGTATAATCGCTATATAAATAGTTTCCTAAAACTTCATCGAAATTACGTCTAAAAATCGAGAAGTTTGCTTTTTTCAAGTATGCACATCGGACCCAACATCGGAACTATCGCATTCAAGACTCCAAGCGCGGTTTTTGATATGACAAACATGCATAATCACAGTAAGATTCCAATAATCGGCCACTTTTCTCAATTTCTTATCAGAATAGCAATAGGAGTTGACACTGCACCAATTGTCAAATTTTCATTTTCCCTGGCTTTTGATTTGAATTCATCGGAAATTGAAATTTCTCAATGAATTTTTCAAAATTCAAACTAGGTTTTTTTTGGTTTAAACTGCACTGATCCGACTAATCCGATCAGTGGATTTCATTGAAAAATGTGTATTTTTTCCTGACTCTCGGTTTGAACTGTTCAGGAGCACTAACGGTAGGTGAAGCAGCAGGTGCTTTGATGATAATAAGACAGCATCTGAAGAAGTTTGTTTCTTTGGACGTCCTCGCCGACAAATCGGGTGGACTGGCTCTGGAAGGATGACTTCAGGGGATGAAGATACATATTTGATCAAGGCAGAAATGTGATAGGTAAACAAGGGTACATATGGATTATCTGGACAGATAATTTCATAAGACGTAGGACTTACAATCTAAGAAATCTTATATGGCCCGTTTCTTCGAGGTTTAAACTTAGAAGTAATGCCTAACTTGGCTTTACTTAAAATTTGTGTTTTCACCAACACTAAATCTGATACTTCGAAGGTCAAATCATGACGTTTATCATCAGCATATTTCTTCCTTATGTCTTTCATGGTTTTCTCTATTCGTAGATATGGAGTTATTTGAGGTATAAAGTTGTCACTTTCGATGATAACCCTAAAATCTCGACGTACATCATCCGGAGCACGGAGCTTTCTACCAAAAGTGAGATAAGCTGGTGAATATCCAGTAGCTTGATACACAGTAGTATTCATCGCGAAACGCACCGACAGTAACTTTTCTTTCCAGCTAGTATGATCGTTGGCTGTTAGGATGGCGAGCTGAGTCTTTTGGCCTCTATTTTTACGTTTCACTGGGCTGGCAGCTGGTAGGCTGGCAGGGTGGCAGGTATCAAACTCTGGCTAAATCTAAGCGCTTCGGCTACATGCTGCATTACATCACTGACGAATTGTACGTCTTTATCGCTGATG